AATTTGGTTGAAGAAGTGCTTGAAAATTGTGCTATTAAGATTGGGCCTTATTTGACACAAGCCCAGAATGGAAAAGAAAATCTAGGTGTAAGAGAAATTAATCTTACTAATGAAAAAGTTTCGTAGGAAATGAGGAATTAAAGGAGGATGTTAGAAGAAAGTCTTATAAAGTGGCGCTTGAAGAACTTTGAATTGGAGGTGGATGTGAAGGTGGAAATTGAGGAAGGACCTCTTGAATTCTTTCGTCTTGCAAGTTGTTGAACCAGTTTAATTTCATTTTTTTTGAAGAATTTGGTGTTCAACTTCCTTCTTAGGAGTTAAGTCAAATGCTACTCCAACTGGTTTATTTTGTCATCCACATGATTCTTCCTACTTCGGCACTTGGGATCAAGTTTTCACCAAGTGGGTGAGAATATGCACATAAGAAAGGAAATCATACATTTAATGGGATTCTATTATAATTATGAATATACTAGGTATTAAAATTATAACATGCTTCTAAATTTAATTTACTATGTTAGGTAGAGCCTATCTCTATTCTCTATTATTTAGAAAGATGTAGTTATTTCTCAGCTTCTATTCTTGTGTTCTGAAATGTGACATGCCTGTAAATTTTGTTGTTAATTAACTTGTTTTTGTTGGTTACATTCTTTTTGTGAATTTTTAGAATTTTAGGAGTGGCTTGATGGTTGAACCTGACACACTGTGTTTGGGTTGAGGGAGATGGAGGGGAAGTGAGGGGAAAGAAAATGAAAGGAAAATATGTACCTTATTGGATAACTTATAAAATTAACAAAGGAGAAGAAAAGGAAAGGATAGAAAATATTACCTTCCTTGCCATTTTATCTCTTTATCCAAATAGAGGGTTCCTCATTTCCCTTCCGTTTCTTCACCTCTACTTCATTTCCCTTAACTTGAGCACCCTTAAAGGGGTTGGATTTGCATGACATGAACTTATCATGTTTGGACTGAGTTTGATCCAGCCTGAAAGTTGACCAGCATTTAGTTGTGGCATTTTTGGAAAGTTGGGATTACTTATCAATCTGATGAACAAAAAAGAGTTGCATGTCCTTTGTCAAACGTTTTGTAAATGAGAATTTAATTGTCTGTCACCTAAAGCAGAGGATGGTTTTGATTCAATGGATGAAAATGGAGAAAAGAAATAAAAGAGAGGAAGAACGTATTAGGGAAAGGTAGCAAGATGGGAGAATAAAAGTTTTACTTATTTTCAATTCATCTTTTGGTTATAGCTTTTGGTGCAGAGTTTGATTGAAGTTCTTACTTGTTAAACCTTAACCTCTGCAATTTTCAACTTTTAAATGATTTCTAAATCATTTGGCTTTTCAACAAACATTAAAATAACTCTTTCAATTAAGTCCTACTAGTCTTAACCTCTTAAAGAATCTTAAATGATTAGGGTTTCCAATTAAATTCAGGGTCAAGATGATTAACAAATTATTTAGTGAGGCACCTGCCTTATCGCCTCAGCTTTTGTGATAACAAAATGTGAGCCTATTCGGTTGATGGTAAAAGATTACTAAGTTGAATTGGCAGTTGAAATATAGGGATTTAGTTTTGGATTTTTGCTGTCATACCTTTGGATAAAGGGATCTTTAAATGATTTTTGTCAAACTATAGATCACTCTAAAAGCTTCAGTTAAAAGTTGTATAGAAAAAATATTTTAGAATTAGAAATGCCTTCGTGTGGTTTAGGCCCAAAATAAAGAGTAACCATATATTTATTGAAGGTATTGTTCACACGCCTCTAATTCCATCCCAAAAAAACTAGTCCCTGGCTTTCATTTGTAGGTGGTGCAGGTCCAACATAATCATCTTTTATCATTGTACATGAGCTGCAGATGATTGTACCTAAAATACTGTTGAGTTTTCTGGACATGAGGTAGTGGAATAATTTTAAATTTTTTTCTAGAAATTCCGCTGAGGATTCATATAGATCTGTCCATGAGTAAGTGGGGAACTCAATATCTTACCTCAAGGTGGTGCATGCCACATTGGTGTGTAGCTCTATTTCCGTCTTGACTTGTTGAATCTAGAGTTTGAAAGAGAACTCCTTTAGTGAAAATCCACATGCACCTTTTCAGGCAAGAAAAGGTCAAAAATTGTCAAACATATAATAATTAAAGATAGAAAATAAATCATTAACAAAATCCGAAAATAAAAAATGAAAGCGTTTATAGTTGTGCTTGCCTGCTTGGTATAATTCTGATTTTTTCCAGTTTCTTTCAGACTTTTTTTTTTTTTTCTTCTGATTTTTCCAATTTTTCATTTTTTTAAAAAGAAAAAAATTTTAAAATCAGAGAATGCCCAAGTGTGCCTAGGTGCACATGGGCACTGGGTGGTGGCCACCCATTGCCTTCTGCTATATTGGTTAGTTCTTGTCTAGTTTGTTATGTTGGCACTCCTTATGTTGACACTGATTAATTTTTTTCACCTAACTGTAAAGGAAGTTGGCTTGGCAATCATCAATGTTTATAATCTTCACTACAGTATTGGGGACAAGATGTTCTTGTCAATGGAATCTTCACACCAAAATATTCCTCAGGAGGAGGTAACTTGCCACTTCCCATAATCTTTGTTTTTTAAGTTGATTTTAAATTGAACCTTTATTTGATCTGCTGATCTGCTTATGAATGTTATTATTTCAGGGGGAATGTGTTGATGTCAAACTTACGACAGACAAAATTTGGATTTTAAAGGATAATGGATTAGTGTATAACTATCTGCTTCATACAAACACTGCCATGTAAGATTTTGCATGCCTATTCCTGTGACACTTTTTCTTTTCTTGGCAATACATAACTTTACCATATTAGTTTGCAGATTACTCATCTCAGTCCTTATAGTTGTGCATGTTATAGGCTGTTTCAAATCAAAGGATCGCATCCACATTATTTTTTCATGAATGTCTAAAGACTATAATTTATCTTTCAAACTTACTCAGTTCCCTGCCATTTATAGCTTCAAGAATGGTTTTACCTATGTTTCTGAATATATATTGTTATAACATGTTTTCAGCATGTCCTTTTCAATTGTCATCATCTAATGTTGTTGGTGCAACACTGCAACTATATTCTCAAAATTCTCAAATTGCATACACATAAATCACAGAGTTATTGAGATAAGTTTGGCTTTTGTTTTCTAATCGGATGCAGAGTTGTTTGCAATTCACTAATCCTTTGATGCCATATCTACCTGTACAATCTAAACTTTTTCAATGAACTTTGTTTTTAGGGAAGAAGCAGGCTGCTATGTCTCACAAGAAGAATTCGTTGCAGATCAGCTGTTTCAAAGTTTGGAAAATTCTGCAGATGATCTTATTTTGATGGCTAATTCAGTGTTTTCATCAGGAAAGGTGCTGTTGTATCTTGGTTTACTTGATGAGCTATTGTGGGCATTGATTATCAGATTTATCTTTTTTAATTTGTTAGTATTTATGTCTATTTAAGTTTATTTGCATAAGAAGAATCAAGCTCTGTGCGTACTACTTTATCCTCTTGCTGGATTTAGATCAAATAATATCTGATATTTTATTCAACTATGTAAGCAGGTTCTAGTTCCAGCTTGCATTTTCCAAAAGCTTCAGTAATTTATGGAAAAATAGTAGGATTGCATTCACTTGATTCTTTCTAATTCTTTGTTTATTTACATAGGTTAGATTTGTGTAGCCCTTGTGCTCAAATTATATTTTAAATGTTAACTTGAGGAACCAATTAAGCCTGCTGCCATCAACATTTTTATTGTCTTAGCTTTATATGTAGTCAGCAATTAATTTTAAATCCTGAACTACTTTTTCCTGTTTTTTCTTCCTCAAACACCCTGCTTATCTATGGCCAACAAAGAACTCTCTTTGCACCATCTTCCCTGAACTTTATGGACTGATCTAAATAAAAGAAATAGATAAGTCTGATGTCAGGAATATCATTAACCAATTTATTTGTCTTTCTTGTTTTTCTTTCTCCCTTTTTTCCCCTCAGATGTTTTTCATTAAAATCTTATTTTTGCTGCTTCTCATATGCATGTATGACAAGCAAGAAGCTTCCCATGCTATCATCATGTTGTATTTTTGCATTATTTGTTGGGCTTGGTTTTTTTATTTTTATTGTTATTGATTTGTATGTGGTTTAACAACTTTATTTTGGCTTATGATATCTTTTCTAAAATTTGTTGCAGGAGCACATTTTTCCACTTGTTTCTTCTATTTTCTTACGAAGACTTCTTCATCCTGGGGTTCTTCACAACCTAGTTCTACGTGCAACTTTAATAGATTATAACAAGCACTGGACTGATTCTGAGTTTCAGTCCTTGACTGTTGATGGACCCAAAAAGGAGATTCTTTTGCTGGTTGAAGATAAGGTTTGTGTTTTCTCCACTATAGCAGTTTCAAATTTCTTTTCGGTAAATTTTATTTCTTGAAGGGTATAGAGATGTTTTCCAGTTCTAACACCTTCACATATTTTTTTAGACTCTTCCCAAAAGTGTATCAATATTTCAAGGGTGGAAAAACTTTTGTAGGCGCTATTTCCATTACTGGTGCAGAAATAATGCACCATGCAGCTTGATTGTAGGGTCCTCATCAGGTGCTGTTGGTTTAATCAGAAAAAGTTCTGTATCTTTATTTCGTGGTTTGGAGAACATTGAGCTACTCATAGATGGTATGGGAGGGATATTTTATTTTCTGTTTCTATCCAGATCATTTTTAACTTTATTTATTTATTTATTCTCTTATTGTAAAATGTTTACTTATGTGCATTAGCTTTGTTATAGGTTCTCGAGAGGAACTTGGTGATCTTGTAAGCATTGGGTTGAATTCATTGGATGATGATTCTGAACGAGAGATACTTGCTGAATTGCTTAGATGCACTATTAATATTAGCCAACAGTTGGGCAAAACAACTTATGCTATTTTTTATGAATCACTTGTTTGCAAACATATTATTTCCCCTGAGGAGATTGTTCGTCGCTTGCTGAAGGTTCTAGAAACTGGAAATGGGTCAATAATAGCAGAACTCCATGTATTTAATCTTGGAGCTGATGTTGCATGGGAAAAAGAGCAGGCAGATCACAAAAATCTGAGGAAATTTTCTGTTGACATATTGCTGTCACTTCATGTTCTTTATAAAAAAGCAGCCTCTTGGGAGAAAGTTTTTGATGTTTTAGGGAAGTATCTGCAGGTTCTTGTTCCCCAGAAAGTTATAAAAGATTCAGGTGCTGGAACATTGTTTAATATCAGCAATTCCATTGTGGTCCCAGCTGCCTGCCAGATTGCGAAGGTGATGTTTGAGTCTGCATTGGATATCCTTCTTTTTGTTAGCTATTTGGCTGATATCAGTTGGCAGGTTAGTTTTTTCCCTTCTTGTCTGCTTTTACATTTTCTTAAGAGTCTGCATTGAAAAAAAGTAGCTTTACATCTTTTTTTGCCTTTAATTTATCTATTGTACCAATATTATTATTATTTTTTTTTTGAGTAGTCTTTCATGATTTGTACATTCAAAGAAAGAATTGAGAATGCAGGTAAGCAAATCATCTACATATTAGGAATTTATTATAATTATGAGTACATTGGAATTAATTTGTAATTGTATCATTGATCTAGTTGGTTTTTTTTTTAGATGAATTTGATCTAGTAGTTTATGGTATTAGATATTTAATATCTTTCAATAAAGATTCCTTTTAGGAGTCTAATTGGGGAATTAAGTCTAAATTAGGGTTTTAGCTTTTTTCTATGTAAGCATTAGTTTGTATTAGGGTAAGTTAGTTCTCATGTGAATGGAGTTTAAGTCTTCCAAAAATCCCTAGTTTCTCTATTCTCTTCTCATCTTTTCCTCTTTCTCTATTTATCTAAAATTCCCTTGTTCTACATCAAGAATTTTGCCTCATTATTTCTCCTTCTTAAGTGATCAGATCAATTCTTTACTGGTAGAATCATTGTTTCCTAACATGATCGTTTTGAATGCTCAAAGCATATGAGCAGGTTATTCTAGATTTTAGCTATGTTTTACTTTGTTGGATTATGTAAAAGACACTACGGGAAATTGTTTTTGCATCTTCACGTAAGGTGATTGCCTTTTGAAAGCAAATACTGTTTAAAAAACAATCAACTATTAGAAAAACAGATTGAGGGAAATCAAGACATCCTAAAATGCCAAGAATGATAATTGAAGGACTTAAATACCTTTAATGAATCATCACACAAGGATGATTCCTTGTGTGATGATTGATTAAGGGTATTTGAACAATTTCATTGGTAGTCCTTGATTTTCAAATGACAGATATTCTGATTTTTACTTTTCTTTTAGAAAAATATGATAAATGAAATTATGCTTTTCAGTTCACCCAGTCAACTTTTCTAGCTAGTATAATGATGAGGGTTTTTCTAATTTGTACCAGTTAAGAGTGTAATTAATGCACCTTTTAACAATTAATTTTTATTGAAAAATAAAAATTAACTTTTAATTTATCAACTGTCCAAGTGGCATTGGTACAAAAATTAATATTAGCTTTTACATTTTTTCATGTAAGTTAATTGCTAAAAGGTGTATTAATTACACCTTTTAACTTGTGCCCTTACAGTGTTAGAACCCTAATAATAATACTTTACCAAATGTTTCTTTTGGACATTAAGTTAGTAATACTTTTCCTTATTGGTTGCATTATTCTTTTAGTTCAATATAGAAATTCATTGTGCATTACATTTCTTCTCATTTTAATTGACAAAAGCGATAGTTTATACAAAAAATTGAAAACAAAAATCTTTATCTTCTAAAAAATTGAATTAAATTTAGGAAAGGAAAGGAAAAGGAACAAACTTTTCTTTTGTATTTTGGAATATGTGATATGAAAAAAATGATTTCAGAATCAGTTCTTTTTCAAAAAAAATTTCGTTTAGTTGGAGGATCAAAGATTGGTTATTGCTTCACCAACAATATTATTAATAGAGCTATTTTGTGATTTTCATTTTTTCTATAATGTCTCTAACGTCTTATGTAGAGCTTTTTAAGATTTGTTCCCTTAAGAAAATATGTCGAATGGTATTTGTCTAACGCATATGTTATTCGTGATCGAGAGGGGAAGGCTTGGTTAGGGGTTCTGTTCTCATCAATGCATGTAAGTTAAATAAACATTGGAATGGAATCCAACATGCCCAAACAAGCATTAGGAGTAATTTGCCCAAATTCAAACAAAAAGGGAAGTATTTCCCTTTTTAGGACATGCATCTAATTTGGCCTTCTTTTCCTTCTTGTCTTGTTATTCTGATGAGTTTTGTCATTTGCCAGTATGTGTTGATTCTGAACCAAATTTGAATACAGGCTTGATATGAATGTCTAAGTTCCTATGTTTTTTTGACAGATTGACATGTCACATCATGACATATCTAAAATCCAACTTGAGATGGTTCCAATGATTCAAGAAATTGTTTTTGAGTGGCTAATCGTTCTTTTCTTTAGCACTACACCATCTGAATCACTTTCAATTGAAGATTTTAGTTCTCAACTTTCATCATTACACATTGGTAAGTTATTTTTAATTTTATTTTTTTCTTTTTGGATTGACTTATTAACCAGTTTTTATTATGAGAAAATGTTATCACTTTGATATTTTATCATGTGAAAACTGACATGTGGGCTTTACAAGGCTTGCATCCAACCCAAAAACCAATTGGCAATAAGTGAAGTAGCCTTCCTTGTACTTAACCCTCTTGTTTCTTTGTTATATCCTCGATGTGGGATTTCCTACTTAACATGTCAATTAATTGTTATATCTAAGTGGTCATAATTGTGAAGTCATTTAAGGTTTTAGCTGCATTATCTACCTTATGATTTGAGCATGACTGGTGTCTTTTTTTTTTTTTTTTGGCTAAGTGACTGGTCATAACTGTGATGTCATATAAGGTTTTAGCTTCAAAATGCTTGTAATTTTATGGATATAAAAGCAACTTTCATTTTGGTCTTCAAAAAAACTAAAGAAAATTATCCTTCAATGATGTGGACTAATGATAGGATAATTTTTAGGAGGCTGATGGTAGGTGGCAGCCCCATACCCGTTAATTTTTTTTTTTTTTTTGCCTTTGTTATGGTTAAACTAAGAATTGGTCCCTTAATCTAACAATTTAAAATCATTTTAGTCCCTCAATTATTTTGAACCATTTTTTAGTTTTCAAACTTTAATAAGAGTTTAGTTTTAAGTGTGTTATGGCTTAGATTATTTTGAATTTCAATACTTAGGATGTCAGGATATAGATGTTTTAGAGTTTACTAGTATGAAAATGATATAAGTTACAATGCCATATGGTATTGTAAGCTTACAATAGGATATGCTGTTTTATAATTAGCTCTTTTAATGTTGGGGTCCACCTGTGATATTATGCGTCCATTCATTTAATGATATGTCATACTTATTTAATGACAATGATTGTAACTTTACAATCTTATATGGTATTGTAAGTATAGCATTGCCATTTACTAGTATTTAGGGTGTTAGGGTTTAAAGTTTTTAGAGTTTAGAATTTAAGATGCATGTTAAGGTTTAGAATTTAAGTGTTAGGTTTAGGTTTTTATGTTTTAGGGTTTAATATTTAAATTTAAGATTTAATAACTTAAAAATAAAATAACAAGACTTAAAAATAAAAATTTAGAGTTATTATATCTAAAAAAAAAAAAATAGCTATAGGGGACCAATTGGCTTGGGGACCAATCAGTCCCTCTAGCATTACCCCTATTGATATATCTGCCACCATAGTTACTAGATGCTATATCACTTAGGTTGCAAATACAGTATTCATTTGATAGTTTTCCTGTTTTTGTCAATGTCCAGGCAGCAACACTAATAAAAAATTGTGGAATGAGAAGCTCGGGAAACCTGATTTCACATTAGCTTCTATACTTCTACCAAACATTCAGAGTTCCTCTGTAGATGAGAGATGCCTTTCTTTGGGATACCTGCCTAATCCACATGACATTATTAGTATGGTGCAGAAATTTACAAGTTGGATCATTTTTGGAAAGGTTGGAGACGAATCTCCTTCATTCTTAAGGCGTTCAATTACCCTTTCCCTGATCCTGCTTAGGCATGGCCAATATGATGCTCTCAAGGTTTTATATTTTAAACTTCCTTACAATAATTTCCTTCTATTAAGAGACACATTATTGGTGATTTCACTTGACATTTCTTATTTTCTGGTTTCAATCTCTTAAAGTTCCTGCTCTCTAGTATGGAGGCAAATTCAGAAAGGGAAAGGATATTCAAATGCATTCAAGATGATGGCAGCGATTGGTGCTTACTTCAACATCTTCTTGGGTGTTGTCATCTTGCTCAAATGCAATGTGGATTACATGGAATCCTGAAAGATAGAAAAGTTTGTGAAGCTGTTCACTGTTTTTTCAGGTATTTTATTTGTCAAGTAGCTAAGCTAATAGTGCTCAACTAGATGGGATCACAAGGCTGACCAAAAATACAAAAGATGGAATCAAAAGGATGTCTTTTTTTTTTTTTTACTGTTATGATCAGTTTGTTGTTAAGTTCTGTTTTAGTATTTGATACCTTTGATTTTGATTAACCTTTACCCTCATGATGCTATTCTAATTTTTAATTTAGTTATTATAATTATCATGTATCCTTCTTGCATACTACATTTCTTTCTACCTTTTTATCAGAAGCAATTATGGAGATAAAACATATAGGAACTGAAGCAAAATCTGAAACAGTTAACTTTATTTTGGTCTATGTAGAGCTTCATCTGGAAAGAGTGCGTCCCAGGCTTTGCAGAGTTTGTCTCCAGAAGTGGGATTGCCATATCTTGGTTTTAGTAAGCTTATCAAAGAAAATTGATAGCTTCCTTAGGAAAAAAAAAAAACAATCCTATATTTTCTTTTCGCGAAATTGATTACTTTATTGTTTTGTTCCAGGTGGTTTTGTTGCATCTCCTGCATGGAAGCTTCTATATTATCAATGGGCAATGCAGTTATTTGAGCAATATAATATTAGTGAAGGGGCTTGTCAATTTGCTCTTGCTGCATTGGAGCAAGTTGATGAAGCTCTTAGACTGGATGATGACTTCTTTGAGAGAGATCCATTTAACGAGTCAGCCACCACCATAAAAGGACGTCTTTGGGCAAATATATTCAAGTTTACTTTGGATCTAAATCTCTTGAATGATGCTTATTGTGCAATAATTTCAAATCCAGACGAGGAGAGCAAAAGCATCTGCTTGAGACGGTTTATAATAGTTCTTTATGAACGTGGAGCACTAAAGGTTTCTTACCAGATTACTCTTTTTTCGCCCAATGTAACTGTGTTCAAAATGTCAAGCCCTAATAGTATTGCTGCTAGGTTCACAGCTACTGAAAAGCAATAAATAACAATCTGTTAAACACAAATCTGAAAGGAACTTGCTAAATGAAGATTTATCTGCTAGTTTCATTCCCGATCCCAATCTTACATGTATTTCTGTTCTTGGCTTGGTTAACTTGATATGAGTTTTTCTCCATTCATGGTATCCATTTTTACTAAATACTGCTAAACAAAATTGAAAATTAAAGTTTATTTCCTAGATAACTATGAGGTATACCTTTTGACTTTAGTTTATCCTGGTTGCAGACCTTAAAAGTTTTCTGTGTGAAGGAAGGTGAATATCTACTTTAGTGGGTTCTAGTGCTATGGAACACACATAATTAGAAGTGGGATATTTTGTTTTTGCCATCACTTATGTCATGTTCTCACCATGGAAATTTGATTCTGGGTTATGTAATATCTTTTTGTTATTTGTTGGCCATTGCATCTTTGTTAGATTTTGCCTTCCTGCTGTATTTTTTATGAGAAGCTGATTTTTCCTTTGTTTATGGATAATCTCAATCCACTAGATGGATAAAGATTTTGGCTTGCCATATTTCTAATCAGGATGTCTTTGCTTTCCTTCATGTACTCCAGGTTCTTTGTGATGGTCAGTTGCCCTTCATTGATTTAGCTGATAAAGTTGAGCAAGAACTTGCCTGGAAGGTACTCATTTCAACTTTAGTTAATGTTTTATTTTTCATATGTTATGTGTTTGCTAGCACACTAATCTTATTGGACACTTCTCACACTGAAAATTTGTAGGCAGAGCGTTCAGATGTCTTGGCAAAGCCAAATCCATACAAGTTGCTCTATGCATTTGAAATGCATCGACATAACTGGCAAAGAGCAGCAAATTACATATATATATACTCATCTAATTTGAGAACTGAATTGGTTGCAAAAAATCAACAAAAAATATCAGTGGCACTGCTGGAGAGGCTGAATGGGCTCTCTGCTGCTATCAATGCACTGAATCTTGTTCATCCGATGTATGCTTGGATTGATCCTCTTAATGAAGCAAATTTTCTCCACAGTGAGCATTATCCAAGTAAAAAGGCTAAAAAGACAGTGACAGAAGAATGTAATTTATAAATCAACTTCATCATTCTATTGTTTTAAATTTTATATTTTTTTTCCTAATTTGGTATCATCTTCTTGACTTCTTGTTATAATTTTCTCTTTTTCTGCAGCAGCTGGCAAGGATTGGCAGCTTGTGAGGCCTCAATTTTATATTGATACAGAGAAATTGGAAAATGAATTTGTGCTGGCATCAGCAGAATATTTACTCTCACTGGCCAACGTGAAATGGACATATTCTGGTAACTTTCTTCAGCCTCCTTTTTATTCACCAATATGCACGTTGTAGCTCATTTATAAAGATATATCAAGAAATGAATTAAAACAAAAGCTGGGGAGGGTTAAATACTCAGATGACCAAAACCAATTGTTGTAGAGGGATTTGATTTCCAAGTACCTTACAGAGATTGTCTTTAATGACAAGTAGAGGTGAAGTTTCATGCACCCAGATCCAACTAGGTTTCTGAAAACATATGTCTAAGATGAGTTACATACATTCACTGGTTTTAAGCTGATAAAGGATTCAAATTCTGTATTGTTCTTCTTGGCCTCAAAGGGATGTATCTCATTCATGAGTGGCTGACGATTTGATGAAACATTGAACTTTGTGATATCTTCTTGATCAGTGCGATTGTGAAACAGTTTATTTGATTTAAAAAATCTTAGCAAATGATTTAATAATCATTTTGGAAACTTCTTTGCAATTCTTTGACTTCTCTGGTGTTCTGTTATCCTTTCCTTCCTCCAGGAACTCAAAAACCCCCTTCAGATTTGGTTGATCTCCTTCTTCAAACAAATTTGTATGACATGGCCTTCACTGTCCTAATGAAGTTCTGGAAAGATTCAGGATTGAAGAGGTGGAATTTCATATGCCTCAGTGTGATACTATGATTTCATTGTTATCATGTATCCTCCAACTGATGCACATGGTGTGATTTAACCTTTGTTTTCTCAGGGAGCTGGAAAATGTCTTTTATGCCATGTCATTAAAATGCTGTCAAAGTACTGTAAGCTCCTATGTGGCAGGGTAGGATACAATCTCATCCATGTCACTTATTTGCTTTTTGAGGAAGCCAATATTTCTACATATGGTGAATTTTGACCAATTGGAAGTTTTTCAGAAAGCACAGCCTCCTGGTGACTTCATCAAAGGATGAAGTGATTTTAGATGGTTCAGCTGAGATTGGGCTTACCACTCAACAAACAAATTTGAATAGTCAATGGGAAACTCTTGAGATTTATCTTGTGCGTATCTTCAGCATGCTTAAATTTCTTTTAGATTTCTTTTTTTAGCCATCTTTTAGTTTCTTTCGTTATTTAAAATTAAAGATATTACTTTTTTTGTCATAATTAAAGATAATTATAGACGAATCAAGAAAATTGCCTCTTTGGCGTTCACATAACTAATATAGTTTTTATGTTCCTTTTTTATTATTTTTTCTAGTTTATAATAAATTTTAATTCATTATAGGACATATTTGTGGAAATCTGCCTATTGAAGTGGACAGGTTTTTGAGGATATTTTAGGGCAATTTATAGGTGAAGAAAAAGGGGGAAATTACGGGATAGCTGGGATTGAATTGTGGTTTGTTACTTTGTTTAGGGTCAAGAAGGGAAAAAATATTCAAGGATTTGATGATTAACTAAGCTATTGGTGGTTGTGAAGATGTGTGAACAATAAGTTAGGGATTCAGGGAAGTCATGTCATGGTGAATTGATTAATATAGATCTTGGTAGGGGTTTATGGGAGGTTATAGGATTTAGTTTTAGCAAAGTAGTTTAGAGACAAAAAAGTGCAAAGTTAAATGTTTGGGGACTAAAGTTAGCATTTAATTAATTAATAATCCTACATCATAGAAATTACATGATTGAAACAAAATGAAGCGATAAAAGTGCTATGATGTTGAAGCGATCACTTCTTTAAAAAGACCCAAAATGACTACAAACCCTTATGAATAAAAAAA